CTTTGCTTTGAAATTAAAAGGAAAAACAAGTTGATTCAGCACAAAAGCTACACAGCTTATTCATCATTTACTGTCCTCAAAAGTTATTCTTATACTGGCACATTAACTAATAACATAAAAATATAGACATTTACTGGTAAATTCAAGAAGTAACCCAAACTTGACAGAATACAGTCACATATCTCAGTAATCATATGAAACGACCTACACTGACCAGTTAACAAAATCTTCAAATGTTATTAAAAAACAAGTCTTCCTCAACAACATGAAGCACAATATCTACAAGAAGTGAAATGGTAAAAGATGATCGGGACAAAGCTTAATCAAAATACAGCTAATACAGTAATTATTAGATAAAATAAATCTGAGATACAATATGATGGTACACTGGCAAATTATCCAAGAACATATAATTGTTAACATATCTGTATCTAGTGTTCTAGCCTCAAATTTTATCCAGCAATCGTTTACGAAAATACCAAGAGAAACTATTAAGTCAACAATTACAGAGATTTTTAACACATCTAACAAACTAAAAGTTAAGTAATTTTATTGATAAATGTAGTTAATATATGATCAAGAAGATTAGAAATCTGTAAAAGCAATGAGATGATACTATGTTTTTCCACACTCAAAAAGAAATATTATAAAAATTGATTATATACTTGGCTTCAAAATAAACCCAAAATAAAAACAGAATCACTCTCTCTCTTTTGTCTTTTTGAGACAGTGTCTCACTATGCACTCAGGCTGGCCTTGAGCTCACTTTATAGCCTAGGCTGGTCTCGAACTCACAATGATCCTCCTGAGTGCTGGGATTACAGGTGTAAGCCACCATGCTCCATTATTTAGACCCGCAGTATGAGTAGTGTATTCTTAACAAAAGAAAATTATACACAGTACACACATACATATACTAACAATACACACAGACTGAAATTTTTAAAATAACATCTATAAAAAAAAAATCAGAGGTTAACAAAACAACCAAAACAGAATGAGAAAATATGAAGGAGTGAATGGCAATTAAAGGCACTACATTTCAAACTTATGCAGTCAACAAAAGGTACCTAAGGGAAAAAATTAAGAGCCATAGGTGTATTAAACTCATGGAATTGAAAGAACAGAATAATCCCAAAGAAAAAGATTAAAAGGGAACAAAATTACACAACAGAAAAGATACAACAGAAAGGAACAAAATCAAACTGTTATTTTGAAAAAAATAAATCTGTATCAAGAATAATAAAAAGATATAACAGCAGAAATGAAAAAGGAGTCAAAACTGAATACACGAGATGAGAATACTGTGCAAAGCTTCATGCCAATAACCAGTCAAATTAGATGAAATGGACAGTTTGCCAAAAACATGAATTACTAACACTGACTCAAAATAGAAACAGATCATTAGTATAAGGAAACTGAATCAATAACATAAACAAAAAACTATCCTCCATTCCCAAAATTTCCTTTAACTGCCCCTCCCAAGACAGTTTCAAAAGCAAGTTGCACCAAATTAAAAAAAAAACATAATCCTTCATTTATCCAAGCTTTTCTAGAAAATCATGAGAAGCAACTTTAAGAGGATTGTATATAACCCAGATAACAAAATTCAATGAAGACAATTGTTAAAATAGTAATGTATAAAATCCTAAATAAAAATGCAAAATGAATGCAGAATAATCATGGTCAACTGGCATTTATATCAGAAACTCAGGATTGCTTAACTTTAGAAAAACCAATGATTAATAATGTAAGTAATAGAATGGAAAACACATGATTCAGTTGAAGCAGAAAATATAGAATTAAATTCACCACACTTCCATGAAGTCTGAGAAACTACGAAAGAAACCTCCTTATTCTGAGAGAAAATATCTATTTTCAAAAATCCTATAGCGAAAAATAAGTAATAAAATAGAAATAATAAGCAACTCTGGAAAACTGCAACATCTCCTCGTCTTGTCTTCTGTGAGTTACACTCCATCTTCACAGCCTCAGTGATCGCCTACCTTCCTCTTATGAGAGATGCACACTCGCCTAGGGGTGACCCTCAGCCTGAGCCAATGCCAACGAAGTGAAAGGGCTATGTACCACTTGCAAGCACAAGATTCACAAGCTAGACTGTGCATCATGTTTCCCTTTTATCTGGGTTGAGATCTGAGTGTCCCCACTAGAGGCAACTCAAGCTAGAAGTAAAGATGATATGCAACACAGTCACAATCAACCTACCAAAAACATGAAACACAAGCGACAAATGAGCCACTTATTTTAAGTCAAGAGGAGTCAGGGGTTCTCTGCTCCTGCATCGTCATCCATGGGGCCCTACTAGACAAGATCTGGAAAGTGCACATTAGAAAACCGAGATGCTGCTTTACACACATTAAATTAGTAACTCTCCATCACACTGATGACGTTATGGTAAAGTGAAAGTCACTGCTCCAGGAATGTAAACTGGAGTGATCATTTTGATGGTATCTGGGAAAACTGAAGACATAAAATTGCATCTCATCCATCTAGCAATTCCACTTACAGAAATTTACCCTAAATAAGCTCTTGAACAAGTAAACAAGGAAACAGAGACTAGTATGTTCATAGAAGGACTTTTTAAAATTACAAAAGAAAGTGTAGCCTATTATGGGAATGAATATACTGATTTAATCATTTCAATGACTATGATAAGTTAAGAAAAAAGAAGATTGACACATAAAGACTTATAAAGAATAAAAAGATGGACTAAGATATCTACAATGTCTTTAATATTAGTTTTAAGTTATTAAAATATAATTGAGAGTTGGGCATGGTTGTACATGCCTGCAATCCTAACACTCTGGGAGGCTAGCAAGGAGGACCACATGCACAATCCCAGCCTGGGCGACACAGTGGCTTACTGAGACCTTGTCTCAAAACGTTTTAAGAATGGGCTGTTGATGGAGTCCTGGGTTCAATCTCCAGTACAATCAATCAGTCCATCAACAAACTAAAACAGGTAGCAAAATGGAAATACCTGACTGAAAATTTTATGGTAGATGTTCAATTATCTATTTTTCTGTAGTTTTTAAATTTTTCATCCCTTAAAAAAAAAGACAAGAGAAAAAAAATCTATGCCATAAAGTACACCATTCAGTCTTGCAGTTTAGGGATATAAAATTTTAGAGATGAAAGGGGAATTCTATATCCTGTACTTTGCAAATGAAGAAAAGTAGGCCCCTAGACATGGAATAATGGACTCAAGGTCCCAAAACAAGCTATCATGTTGGTTCTCAAAGACTAAAAGACAAGGGATGTTTGGCCAAATTCAATGTAATTAAGTCAACTTCAGAAAACAACAAGTATTTTCTTTACTGTCCCCAACCTAAGACATCGTCAGTGTCCTTCTCCACGCCACTCGCCACTCTCAGGCCCTCTCTGGGAAGGGAGGCGAATTTTTGCATAGGACGAGAGGAGAAAGGAGTGTTCAGAAGAGTAGAAGAAGGAAAGAAAGGTTTACGGTTGCTACCAATTCCTTCAAAATTCATGGCACACCCTAACCCTCCTGTGGTGGTGCTGAGAACCGGCCTGCAGGAAGCAAGCCACGAGGGATGTACTCTCAGCAGCAGGAACAAAGCCTCGGGAGAGACCCATGGGAACGGTCTCGTCCCTTTCACCTGTGAAGAGTCAGCACTGGCCCCTTCCACCACATAGGCAGAGAGCAAGGAGGTCCTGTTTCAGAGGCAAAAGCAGTTAGCAGTTCTCACCACGTGTGCACCTGCCAGCACCTTGGTTCTGAACTTTCAGTCTCCAAAACTGTGAGCAATAAATTTCTAGTGCTTGTAAATTACCAAGTCTAAGATATTTTGCCACAAGAACAAATGAAGAGAAGGATTTTTTTTACTCCTTTTAACTATTTATTTTCTTTAACCAACTGAAATAGAGCAACACTTAAAGTTCTAGATAGCAATAAAAAAGATAAAGGTAAGGACCATGAACAATATTTATTTTAGTACCCTTAACACCCTACAATATAATATGCATTCAAATATAGAACACACTACAGTTCAACTTGACCTGTTTTTACCAAGTTCAATGCTTTCACTGTTGTTTAAAGTATAACTTCTATTGTAAGTAAGAATGCAAGGAATTAAGGGGAAAGCGTATAACAGAAAACTAAAGAAAAGATCAGCTCTTATTTTAAATGGGAAAGACAGGTCCCATGAATGGCAAATGAAACTGCTTGATCAGGTGGAGAGATTGCTCGGCGCTACAGCTAACTTACCAGGGCTGGAAGCCTGGCTCCTCCCTAACAGCTGTGAAACTCTAGGCAGGTTATTTAACTCCTCTGAGCCTTACACCTCCCACTGTAACACTGGGAACACCAAAATAATAAACACCTTAAAGAGTCTTGTAAGTATAAAATGAGGTAATTCATTCAAAGCACTTCAGATACTTCAGTAAACATGAACTATTACTATATGTCACATAAGTAATGTAATTTAACTGTGAAAAGCAACAAATTCTAATTGACACACAACTATAAGATACTGGATATATTAACATTACACTGGCTTCTGTCAGCATCAGAGAAAATGAAGTATCTGTTTTGCTAATCATATGTGTTTTCTAATGGAACTTAAATAAATGGTCTAGATGTTGTTACTCTCTCAGATACATCTACCCCTAAAATTTCATTCTTCTGAAAGTCAACCTAGAATTCTCATGTGTCCTGAAGTAATCAGGACCAGTATTCCAATTATTTAACGTTCATTCAGAACAGACATACACAAGGGCGCATGACCAGCAAGTGCACACTGCCAGAACAGCGTCCCTGCGGCATATCCAAAGGGTCAGGAAGCATTGTTTGTCATGAAATGGGAATCCTCTTCGACATTGCTGTTGTTGTAAATGCAAAATTGCACCAAGCTACACACAGGAACTTGGTAAAACACAAAAGCATACTCATTATGCCATGCCCCTAGTAAGAAACTGTCCCTGGCTTTCATCCCACGCTCTGCGCGGCTCTGTCCTACCTCCAGGTCACAGCTGTACTCAGTGCCATCCAGGAGGACCACTTTACACTGCACAGTTTTGGTCTTCTTGCTGGCTTTCTGAGAGTCATTCTCTGCTTTCAGCTCATTGGTCTGCACTTCCTTCGTCTCCCTGTTTGCTGCTTCTCCTTCTGATTTGTCTTCCTGTGTTTCCTTAACCTTCTCCTCTCCTCTCTCCTTCCTTCCTTTTTCAGCAGGCTGCCAAGGAAAAACAGTGCTAAAATTAGCCACTCTGCAGAAGATAATGAAAAGGAAAATCTTTAGTAAGTGTTATGATCAAAAAGCTTAATATTTTAAAAGATTGGAAAATTATGCCAGTAAGGATATCACTCCTCATCTTCCTGCTACTGCCAATTTTCTCATTTTGCCAAGTTGGTTATTTCACATTAAATGAATAACAGACACTATACGCCCAACTACAATTTCAGTATCACTCGAACAGAATTTCTGACTAAAATTTCAGACCATGGCAAAACCTGCACTTCACCAGGCAAACAAAATTGCACAGAATCTACTATTTACTGCTCACTAAATACTTAAATAAACCAGAGAAACATTAAAAAGCCTCCTTTTTACAATGAAATGGGCCAGGAGTCTGAGAATACACACTGAGCCTAACAGAAACCCTTAGGAACTTCTCTGTATGTAGTCTATATATATTGTTGATTTTTTTTATTATTGTGGAAATATATTTTTAGAGGAATGGTAGGAGAAGCCTGAGGTATATCAACCCCAGAACTATATTCCAGCTACATTAGGCAAAGCACTTATCTCAATACAGGAAATCTGGAAATGATCCCAACAGACCCTTCTCTTTACGTGGTTGCTATCATTCCCAAACAGTCGCTCTCAAACACACCTGCGTCTCAGCGTGGCCCTCGGCGGGCTGGTCTTCACGGACATCCACCTTCACCTCCAGGTGTGTCCTCTGGGCCACTTCCTCAGTATTGCCCGTGGCCTTTCTTTCTTCTTCAGGAAGGGAGTCCTCTTTGTCCAAGGCTTGTTCTTCCAAGACACCTTGAGGAGGCTCAGTTTTAGCTCCTCCATCTTTGGCCACCACTAAGTTATAGGACTTCTGTTTCTTAAGCCATGGGGGTATGAATCGAGAAATCCCTCTACTCTCAGATCGATCCTTCTCTCGCTTCTGGCGGCGGGGACCACTTTGGCTTTCAGCTGCAGGAGATGGCTGGGAGCCTTTTTCCTCCTCTTGACTAGATGACTGATTCTGCTGATTTTCTGCCGCCTCTTTAGCTTGCTCCTTGGTTGTACCTGCTCCCAACTGGTCAGAATCCTTCTTCACTTCAGAGGCAGAGCCAACTTCAGTAGTCATGGTTACAGCTTACACTGCAATAAAACAAAACCAAGAGATGCTACTTTACTAAGTCTGGTGACAAGAAAAAGCAAAAGGCAGGGTGGGAAGAGGAATGGCAGAGATCACAGGGAGAAAACAGGTTGAGAAAAAAGGCTCATATGCGGTGGGAAACATGGAGACCACTCTAACTTTGAGAATTCTCTATCAGAATCATAGAACCTGAATATCACAACAGCATTGCCCGATGCTATACATACAGCTAGAACTTAAGAGTCACCAAGACTCAAGCAAAGGGTGATTACATTGATTTGGTTTCAACTAATTACAGATAATAAATAACCCCCAAAATCTAATTTTTTAGAAAGTATTTTTCTGTGTACTTGGTAGCCTTTATTCTGTAATAAGAAAACAATGCCAGTATTGTCAGAAAGTACCAAGACGCATATCATTACAATTTTATACTTTAAAATCAAAATCTACAGGGGCTAGGGATTTAGCTCAGCAGCATAAGCACCTGCCTTGAAAGCAGGCAGTCATGAGTTTGATCCCTGGTACCAACAAAAAAATAAAAATAAAAATCTACAAAAATATTAAGTATTATAAAAATAAAATTTAAATGCTGGGTGTTTAATAGCGAGAAATTAAATTAAAAACAAAAAATGTATTGTTTTGCATTCCAATATTGAGACCTATAATTCACTATCATTATTTTAAGGCAAAAATTAACTTTCTGAGAAAAACTTCAAACCATAATCAAAATTCCAAACCATTTTGCCAAACTCAAACACACTTTCCTCTGTGTATCTGATTGTTAGAAAAATATCTAAAGGCCCAAATTCAAACCAAACAAAGACACTGTGGTGAAAAATACATCTCATGACTGATCCTATCATAAATAATGAAAATAAAATTTGAATTAAATTTAAAAATAACTGATTATCTAAATTTACACGCAAAAGGAGGAACGATAATCCACTTGAACATTTCTTATTTTGAGGGAAAACAGGGCTATTTATAGTAAACCACAGGGTAGATTCCTCCTGGTCTGTTGTTACTTTCACAATTGGCATGACTCCTGTGAAGACCAGACCAAGGCTCTGCGAGTCCTCGAATCATTCATGCACATGGAATTGGGATACATTTTGAAGTTTGTGTGAGGGATGTGTACACATCTATGTGATAATCCCATTACTGTGTTGGCATGTTACGTCTGGGTTTCTAAAAGTGTCCATAATGTCACAATCCATGAGAAAAAGCACGCATCATTTAACATGCAACCAAGCAGAAAACCATCATCAACAGAGGATCAGTACTGCTTAGGTAAGAATCTGCATTATTGAAAATTATTATTCTTTACTTTCTAATATTAAAAAAATGGCACATTCCAAGGTACTGTTTCTATCTCTAGCCTAAACTACTCACCATAACATTATGCTGCTGCTTAAAACCGTTGCCCTTACATGGAATCAACAGCAAGCAAAACAAAACAGGGAGATACACAACTGTAATGCACAAAGAACGTCAAGTAAGGAGTTAGTTTATGCTAACTATTAGGACCGGACGTTTCCAGAAAACCTTGTGAGAACCTGGGCTACTTCGAAACCCTTCTGGTTAACACAAACCTGAGCACAGAACAGGACAGATGTGACTGCAAGCTGAGAGTCTCCAGTCCTTTGCTGAGTGATGTGAGGCATCTGATCTCTCCCAGTAGAATCAAATGTATAATTTTAAGACATAAGACTTACAGAACAGAAAAGTATTTCTCCACTTCAAAAATTGTGCATGGGTGAAGGCAAGTTTTTGTTCAAACTCTGAGATAAAATTATGCAACAAGCAACCATCAGTATAAAAGAATATTGGCAATGTGCAGACAGTTGTAATTTAGCCATTCTCAAGATCTGACAAAACTAAGTTTTGTTCTGCTACTGTTGTGACAGGAAGAGGACATACAGAGCATCTTGCAGATAGCTATAATCACTTCTTTTGTTCATTTCCCCAAAGCCTATAGCCCAAGGAAAGTCTTTTAATACCCACTATCTTCCATTAAAGTATCAAACATGAGAAAAACAAATGTAACAACCCAAAGGTAGAAACGACTCAGCAACTACCTACGTCCACTTGGGAAATATTACAGTGATTCTTCCCAAATTTATCCAACATTTACAAGGTGGAGAGATGGGAATGGGAAAATACTGCCTGGAGACAGAAAGAATAACACAACAGGCAGATGAACAGACTGCATGGGCTAGGGTTAAGATTAACAGTGGAGCGTATGCACAGCATGCATGAGTATCAAAAGTTACTGCCAGTAACTAGTCCTTTCCCTGGTAAGTTTATTTTTCCTAGGTATCAGAAGGTCTAGAAAATTCTTACACTCTATTCAAGAAGGTACAAATACCCAAAGAAACTGTCAGTTTATAATATATCATGAGAATACACACATTTTTTTAAATAATCTAGTGTTGCTCACCCTAATTATAATACACCATACGCTATTTACTGATTTTTAAAGAGACAAAGGACCTATAAGAAAGACTATTTATATGAAGATATAAATTAATATCTGGTTTAAATTAAGCCCATATATTCAAAACACATGAATGGCAAGCCTTTGCTAGTTGAAGTCTAGGGAGGATCAGGTTTCATTCAAATCATGTATTTCCTCTGCCATTCCTCCTTTTCAACACAATCCAGTTTTGCTCAGCAATCCTGCCCCTTTCACATCTGTGTAGCAGAGGCCGGCTCCAGGATGGACCATAGCATAGGTTCTATCAGTCTACAGCAATCGTAGACTCTCCCTCCCCTTGCTAAAACAAGCACAAAGTCTGTTAGCTTCCAGGAAAAGATTTGTTCCTCTAAACAGGGCAATAAGAAGAAGGTCCTCTGCTGCCTCTGAATATTGTTTACAAAACCAGAAATACATGATCATATTGTGCTCACTGATAAATTCAAGGGTGCAGCCTAAGGATGTAGTGACACACAACAGGGAGTAATGGCAAGGGTAACAGAAAGGACGACATCCCTGGTCACACACACACTTAGTCAGGCCCTATGTCTGAATCTCTGGAATGGAGATAATATATCTGCTACAGGTGAAATAGTTGAGCCAAAGGTTTCAGTTACTTGCAGCCAAGAGCATCTAAACAGCTTCTGCATAGTCTGCAGAAAGTATTAGAAAATACATCTGAAGAAATTGTGGCACATATACTCCTTGGTGAATTACTACTTCCCCCTGACTTTTATGACTTTTGTACCAAAGTTATAACTGTCAATTTTTTCAGTTTTTTTTAAATGCTTTATTTTTTTAACCCTAATACTTGAGACATCATTAAGATAAGCCATACAGTATTTACTCTAAGCACTTTAAATATAAAGTAAAAAAACAAAATGTAAGATTCTCTTTCTTCTTATATTCCTGAAGGGGTACACATAAATTAGGGCAAATTTTCAATATTGTCCAATTCCAATAAAGATCAAGATAAATACTGCTAACCTTATTTGTTGAGAGGAGGGGCTGTTGACCTCACTACGGAATTAGGTCAAGAGAAATCTGTGCCAAGCAAAGCTTTCTCCCCAAGCAACTAGGCCCATCTTAGAAATAAGATTCCCTTTCCCACAGTAAAAACTACATAACCAAAACCTGTAGATAAATCATGAGGGATGCAATTACTGCCATCATTATTCCTATAATCATAATACACATAACCCTTGTTACATTGGTACAGCATAAACTAACAGAGGTGCTGGAGAATTCCCAATCGTACTGGCAGAACCCTGCTGGTTTTTCACCAATCAGTTATACACACTGTGAGTTGCATGGTCAGAAATACTGGTGAACTGTATTTGCTCAAATCCCTTCAAATCCTTGAGTGTTATCTCAACTCTATGTAATACCCGGAGCTGAAGCTCCTTTCTGTGAGAAGAACCTACCCACTATCCAATACTCAGATAAAACAGAATGGTAGCTTGAAGATTAAGGCTGGGAACCAAACAGAACAGGATTAGAACTCTTCCTCTGCTTATTAGCCACAACACAACTATGAACAACTTTTTAGCAGTACTGTTTCAGCTTCTTCATCTGCAAAACAAGGATACACAGTGATATGTAGCGATTGGATGACTCCACGGATTAAATTAGATGCTATAGAGGAAGTGGTAGGCACATAACAACTAAGTGGTGGAACACTTATCAAACGGATTCTGTGAAAAAAATGAGAGGGAGGACTGCATCTGTTTGTTCAACAAAAGTAACTAATAATACAACCAAAACAACAGACAGAATAGTGGCAATTTTTTGAGTTCTGCTTTAGAAATTCTGTCAGAACCAATTCCCTTAATCTTCACAATCCTTTGAAGTAGAAGCTGAAATTATTCTCAGATTATATATGAAGAAGGTAAAAGAGTTTGCACAAAGCCACCCAACCAATAAATGGACAAGCAGGATTCAAACCCCTGCTCCCCAGCTTCAAAGACTATGTGGCACTGTCACCAATCCCTATGTCTCACTGTTGTGTAATCAGATCTAGCAAATGGCCAGTAAGTTAACTGTTGAAAAGGTAAAATCAATAAATTCTTACCAGCATGTGGCCTTTAGAGTCATTGGCAATATCTATTTAAGTTTCCCCTCATAAACTTCCTAACTTTCAGGATTGAGGGTCTGATGAATATCTTACCCTCTTACTTCAAAACAAATATTTATTGAATACTTTCAGAATATATATGCCAAACATCAATAATACAGATGAAGAAGGAATCCTGTTCTCAGTCTAGTGAAAGAAGTAGATAGCAAGGTTAGCAACTTGTCACTGACTGATAAATTTTCCTAATTTAGAGTCAGAAATTACTATTAATTTGAAAAGCAGCCACAGTTTAAGAAAACTATCACTGTCAACTCTTCAGGAAATCACTTTTGAAGAGTACTAATTCTCATTCTCAACTGTATTTGGAAGAGACAGACAAATTTGTTCTCTGGTTAAACTCAAATAACTTGAATGAAAAATCATATAAAACATCCTGGTTATAAACTGACTCA